GGGGGGGGGGGGGGGGGAGGGGGCGGCCTTAAGTCCGAGATTAAACTGAAGGCGTTACTTAAGAATTTAGCCGCAATTGCCACTTCTCTTGTCGGAACTTCGTAGGACGGAAACTTACGGGAGTTAGTAGGGAAACTCCGAGGGTCAGAGGGAAGATTCCCTCGTATAGACGTCGGCGCGCGGTATAGGCGCGCGCTTGTTCGCACTCGCTCGCGCGTATACCTGGTTTCCAGGTGTCTCTCGAAAGCATCGACCTGTCGGTCTCCGACGTCGTCAAGTCTCCGGGACGCGTTTCGCCGAGGAGACGCGGCCTCCTAACGAACCGTCCAGCCTCGCACGCTAATATTTATCGTGGGTGTGTCGAGAAGCTCGATCTCATCGTCCATTAACTTAATTTGATCTACATCATATGCATGCGCGCGTGTGTGTGTATATGTATGTGTGAATATGCATATGACGCGCGTATGCAAACGTTCCAGGTGCTTAATGAAGATTGTCCGGCATTACCATGCGATGACGTCGCGATAAAACGTCCCGCTCCTCGTTTCATTTCGATCGACATTACGAGACGCGCTCTAAACTCGCAAAATGATAGATTCTAAAAAAATTCGTCTTGAATAATCTCGTCGGGTACAGAGCAATTGGTACGTTTCGGCGATGTTTCCCTCGCCACGGCGGCGGCGGCGGCAAAGGCCGGGCTGTGGCGGCGAGTCACTCGCGATATTTATCGTACTTCCGTGCTTGAAAAAAAAAAACGTAATCGTGTCGCTCGAATACAAATGTGACAGACATAGTAGCTCCCGCAACTTTAATGCAGTGAGAAAAAGTAAGGGCGAATAAATAACGCGCGACATTACGCGGCCTCGAACTGTTCTCCATCGCGTAGTTTCCTCTTGTCTAATAAACCGGCTATATACTTTCTCGATTACTTTTAACGAAGTACTCTATGTACGGAGAAACAGATTTCTTTGGATTTAATAAATTTTCTTTAATTGAAGCAAATTGATTTCTATAGGACTTCTAGAGCAAACAAAAGAGTATTTAATTCAACCAATAGAGGATTGCTCGATCTCTTAAACAATAAGTATCTCTTTACGTTAAATAATATTATATTTTTTTTCTATCCAAGCAATGATTTCTATGAGCAATGAATTATTGAATGGGATAACAATGTACAGTAAAAGAATTTTGTGTTAAAAACAGTCCACTGAAATTGTTGTTTTAACATGGAGAATATGTTATTTAACACAAAAATTTGAATGGACTATTTATAACATAAAAATTTATATTGCGTATGTTAAAGAAATATTAAAGAACTTCTTTGTTTCAGTGAAACAATATTTAATATATAATGAAATAAATTCCTTTATTGGAAACGAAATATTATTTTCTCTAAATAATACTATTTGTTTCTGTCAAACGACATAATTTATTTTAGTCAAAACAACATTTTCATTTAAACAAAATGTTATTTGATATGAAATTTTGTTGTTAACACAAACCCAAAATAAACGTATACAAATATACAAATAAACATATGCGTACACGAAATCCAAAGAAATCTTTTTCTTATGTCGAGTATTACTAAAATCTTCCGTCGCATCTTCTTTCGTATACTTCTAAATATATTATGTGAAAATAGATATTTAATTTAATTATCCTTATACAGACAGGTAATAATTTATGCGATTGTTTAATCGATCGTCCATTGACAATGTAGTTTGCAGCGACCGCATCTAATCTTTAATTCAAATTCGTTCCACACATTATTTATCGCATAGCTGCGAACAACAAAAACGGATTGTTGGACGAGAAATTGTTATTGCCATGTAAGAGGATTATTTAAATCGCCTCTTCTAAGTAATTCGCGACACGCTCCATAATTTTCTGAATTTTTTTATCTA